GCAGTGGGGCACCTTTTTTCATCTAATTCTGCCACTGCCTTCCCCTGAGCATTCCTCTGGCTCCAGAGGGGCACTGTGCCGGTTTGAAGTCCTTCGCGCTCGATTGTGGGAAGCCCTTCTGCACTGGGGCTCCCTGTTGTAGAGGTGAGGGATATTGGTTCTTGGATATTTGATGTCATTGAGTTACCGGCAAACATCCCATCAGTCTCATTTTGTCATGTGCTATCCAGAACAATAGAACTGTACCTGATATCTGCCTCCCTTGTTTTAGAGCCTTTGTTTTTGGAAGCCTGTAGCTAGGGATGAGCAAAATACGCACCTAGCTCTTACGAGAGAGTAACAGGTTGCTCTGCAGAATCAATTATATAAGCTCTTTAAAAATCCTGCCCAGAGATCTTATTAACAAACTGAAAACTGCATCATGTTTAGACTGGCCTATGTTGCGCAAACAAGTTCTTTGTGCGTGTGTATTTATCTCATATTAGAAAAGGACTCACACGCATGCACACATGTTCATTCTCCAAGGAGAGCTGTGCTGAGTAAGAGCTTTCCATTGTAATCCTAATCAGATCAATGAATGAATGTCATCTGTCCCAGAGAACTGAAGTGCCCTTTTCAGGAAGGATGCTAACATCATCTCAGCGGCATACAGTATTAAGTCAGTCAGTAGCAGAGTGCTGATTCAGTTCATTTAAGTTATAAGTTCCCCACTATTGCTTGTAAGAGCAATTACCTTGTCTCTTTTGTAAGAACGGAGAGATCATAATCATATTAAATAAACGATTAGCAAAGAGAAACAATTTCTGACAGCATGGCAATAGACTTTTCTTTATATGATGTCCGATAATTAATATATTTTAAAAGACCCATATAAACAGCAGTGTAAGCTAAATTTGGGCAGGTTGCTTGTTTTTCTGCTTCTTGGTGTGGAAAGGTAAACCCCTGATAAGCAATAAAAATTTGTTTGAGATGTTTAGCAAGCTGTTTCTCTCATTGCAAGCTAAAAGCAACAGAGCCGATTTTCTCTTTTAAAGAAAATTATTGGGAGGAGTTTTCTTCACAGTTACTGTCTTTGAAGCTTCATAAAATATAGTATTTTCCTAATCTCAGTTGAAATCTACTGTGTTAACATTTTCCTTCGCTACTTACCCAATGCCATAATTTTTGCCTACGTCCCTTGAACCACAAATTGTTTTTTACGCTGATCTGTAATATTGACAATTTTAACTTCCGTGCTCAGAAAACAGGTTCCAGCAGTGACAGTGTTTATTTAAACAAGCCTCAGTGTACCTGCTTAACAACATGAGCCAAATTAATTATGGCTTTGTCTCTAATCACATCACTACAGTGATTTGGCCTCCCAGTGCTAGGAAAACAGCACACCTCAGGCATGCACGTCACATTCAGGATGCAGCTTCCGCTGCAGCCACGCTGAGCTCTGTGAACAGCGTAGCGGTGGCTGCGGAGAGAGGAGAGCTACCCTGGAAGTGGAATTTCTGAGGAGGAGAGAATTCCCACGACCTACAGCTTTCCTACCGGAGCACGTGGGCGGAAAACCCATATAAATGTCAGAGTGACATAGGGGCATTTGTGTCATTATGAAGAGTTAAATCCAGATTTCCTGACTGCTAGTCCACTGTCTCAAGGACAAGGCTGCTCTTACTTCAGTATAGCATTTGGGCAGTAGCTGGCTGTTAGGATTACTGCAATAATCTAGACATTAAGAAAACTCTCCTGCCTTTGATTAATCTCTTTGCTTTAAAGAGATGCAAAGCAGCCACAACACCACCTAGTTTCAGGATAAACTGGAAGGGTTCAGATTTTGAAAACAAAGCTATCTATTAAGCGTGAGGCCGTTCTCTTTGTTACTAGTCCACCAAAAGGGCAATTGCACATGACTGCTGATTATTTTAACACTTTGCGTAACATATAGCCTAAGATAACATAAACGGCGTTACTGTGTGAGACTGAAGGTCCATCTAGCACAGATCTGTGTCAGCAGTGGCCGTAAGCATCTGCCTAGGAAAGACTACGCGTAAGACAAGTTCTACAGATCCAAGGTGCACTGCACACAGTACCAACCACCGTGCTACTGCGGTGAGCTTCACCACCTTCCTGCCCTTGCTATCTGAGGTTACTTTGCTCCTGAAGATCAGAGTCTTCCTCTCTGTTCTGGTTTAGAATCACTCAAACCATTGATTTTAATGGTGAGAAGCCAGGTCTAAAGCAGTAAGGTGGCGACTAGCTTGTTAAGAAGCGTTTTCTGACTTGAAATACCTTTTAACTTAGCTTATTTTTGCTCCTGTCACTCCTCTGTCCCCTCAAACCATCCTGAGCTGTATCTGTTCTCCTCACGGGCATTTGTCGTTCTGTGCAGCTTTTCATACCCTTATGTTCTTGATGTATCACTTGCATTTTGTAGCTTTTCAGCTTTTCCTGAGGGATTGAACATCTCTGCCTCACTGATGATTCATGTTCACTGTCTCTACATCCCCTTTGTTTTATTAGTCTTAATTGGTTACTGATGTTGCCAAAACTTTATACATTAATAACGTGTAATTAGCAGCCCTGGAAAGCATCAAGGATCATAATTTAAAGGGATACAGTCAGAGTTGTATTTATACATGTAGTTTCCATTTGAAGTGGGACAGTGGGTGGCAGTTTGCCCTACCACCATGTTTGTACATTTTTAGGTTAACAGCTGCTTTCTGAATGCCTCCAGGGAGTCAGTGGGAGCCACTTCCTTGCAAAAAGGTGAGATACTGCTGCTCAGCTGATCCCGGCTGGATTGGTAGAGCCGCCTAGCACAGTAGCAAGGGAATTGTAGTAACTTGCTACCTGCAGCGAAGCCCAGTGCACAAACAGGGAGCCACTGACTTGCCAAAAAGAGCTGATGGCAGCCTCCTTCCTCTGTGGAACGCAGGGTGTCCCACAACGCTTTTTCAAGTGAGACCCACTGGCTTAGCAGCGACTTGGGCCTGTGTTTGAAGCTTTCAGCTTCCTCTGAGCGTCACGCCATTTTCCTTCTTCAACCTCTGCATCTACCGCGGTTATCACTAGGATGTCCTTTATGATTTTTCATGTCCCCAGGCTTTGATTTTGTGTCTTTACATACAGCCCAAATCTGTGCAGACCTTCTCTCCCTATAAATGTGAGGTCAAAGGTGGGATGTTTTTGGGACATCTCTTATCCTGCATGTATTACTGGGAAAGTCAGCGTTGCCTGCTTTGAACTCCTATTCCCTCCCAAAGCAAAACTGAAGAGTGCTTGAGGTTATGTTTCTCAAAAACCTCTTAAGAAAATACTGTACTAAAGTGATTTCTTTAAACTTTTATGAGACTATTATGCATTTTTTAACTTTTTTTTACACTTGAATATTTTGGAATGCTCTGTTTTCATTACAGAAATTGGTAGGAAAACTTCCCTATTTAATTTTACTGCCACTTTATCTAAAAGCACGATGTTTCCTTTCTGCCCCTCCCTCACAGCATGAAAGTGTCAATAGCATTTTCATATGTTTTGCAATACATACGTTTTAAAGCAGTGGGGAACTTGCTTCTGGCTGGTAATTTCTTGTGGCTGTAAGTATTCTCCTCTATAAAATAAATGAATCCACTGATCTTTGTGCTCCTTTAAACATACAGTTACTTAGTTTAGCTCACTGTTTAACCTTCACGATTCTTTCAGTGAGTGAATCCAGATTTGATGGTCTGCAAAAATGTGGAGAAAACAGATTAAATCAGGCTTGCGCATTTTCTGGAACTAAAAATTAGTAACTGCTACTTGCGGAAAGCTTTTGATGATAAGGTCTTAAATTACTTTACAGAGGTTAGGGTGAACAGAATTTCACAGATGTTGTTGAATTATCTGAGTCACAAAGTCATTGTTAGAGCCAGGAATGCAGCAGTGTTTCTTACAACACTATTTTCAGGCTATGAATCCTTGCCTACGCTGATTTTCTTTCAGATTTATTAACCAAAGGTGATAAAGTATGGTCTTAGAGCAGTGATGGTTTTAGAGCTAATAGAAGTATTGGAATTAAGACACTTGAAGAGAACCCCAGAACCTGAGAAGAGGATGAGAGGTGATGGCTCACCCCAACAAACCAGGAGTCACCTCTTGGTCAAAACGTTGAGGCCAACAGTTCTCCAGCCTTCATGAAAACTGCATTAGGAGGGAAAGGTGCTTGTGATGGAGGAAGAAAGTGATGCGTGCCGTGTGTTATGCTGCTGCAGAAGCTGCTTTTAGTAGCTGCCTGCCCACAGGTTAGCTGCTTACAGGAGTTGTAATGAGCAGCTTAAGCCAAGCTAAACCTACCCTGCAGCCTCACTCTGCTCACCGTAGGGTGTATCCTCCCACTCCTCCCGTGCCTTCAGCCCTAGAGCAGGCTGGACCGACTTGTAGATGAACCCAGTGGAGAAAATTAAGGTTATTTCTCAGTTAGATCAGGAGCTACGCACAGGAGCTACGCATGAGGTCACTTATCTAGCACATGTCCCTCATTGCTTTTCATCTGCCTTAACAGTGTCAGCCTGGATCTTGTTCAGATTTAACAACATCTGTGGGTTTTTGTTTTTTTTTTAAGTCAGAGACTTAATCAAACATGCTTCTGCAGAACTGAAGCATTGGTTGTTGCTCATCTAGGTGTTTTAGTGATTAAATTATCCTAAAATGCCAGTTGAAAACCCCACCAGAAACTTACTTTTAGGCACCTCGCTAGCTTTAAAATAAGTGCATAATGCAAATTAACGTTTGTATTTTTCTGTCAAATTAAGTAATGATAGGTGTTAGAGAATTTGTGTATTTTTCTTTGCTGTTGGAGTTGGTGATATCATTACAATTTAGAATAGTTGTTAGGTTTGCGTAGAAGAATATGGATAAGCATCCGTGAATATTTTCCTGAACATTATTACATATCACCCTTCACTCTAATGCATGGTGTAGAAAGATCAAGCAGGAGAACACTGTACAAACATTGACTGATCTTCTTTTTCCTCTAGGATTACGATGGCTTTTTTGAATCAAAGGAAAGCAACACTGTCTTCTCCTTTCTCGGACTGAAACCTAGTTTGACATCAAAGGTAAGTGAAATATTGCAGACTTCTTAGGAAATTCATGAAACATTAAGATTGAATTTTCTTTGAACAGGAAGAACTCAATGTGTTCAGATGGACCATTATCTTGATAGCTATCCATATCAACTTAATGCTAATGAGGTAAATGAAACTGCTGCAGGGAGAGGTAAGGCATTTTAAATGAAACAAGTTCTACCTGTGAGTTAATTTGAGACAGCAAATGAATTAAGTTCAAGCAACACATTTTGCTTCCCTTTATCAGCATAAACGGAAAGAAACTGACTTAATTATAATTAACAGAGAACAGAACTTGGGTCTTAATCACTGAAATATCTGCAGCTAGCGGTCACCAAAACATCATCTTGCTGGGCCAGCCTGCCATAATGGGCCAACCAGGACAACTTTTATTGATTAAGCATTAAAAAACATGCTGAAATGGTGGAGGTGCCAGGAGCTGTAGCAACGTTTTGGATAAGAATTAAATTTTAAAGAACACATATAACAGGACAGAGCAGAGAGCCAGTTAACTTGTTTCTGTTGAGGGCAGTATAACAGAAGACACATTATTGCCATGTGGAAGCCTGAATGGGCCTGGACACTCATACAAAGAGAGTATGTATGATGCTCCTACGGGCAGTAGATTAGACAGCTAGGGAAAGAAAAGATTTTCTTTTGGGTTTGGTTAGTGTGGCTTGAGGCCTGGGTTGTAGCCCTTGAGTATCTATAAAGTTCCTCTTCTGCCAGGAATTCATTTATTTCTGGACTTCAAGGGAGAGATGAGTAGGTGGGAACCACAGCAGGGTTAACCACAGAAGCAGGTTATTTTGGCAGCCTGTGCTGCTTTCTATCTTGAAGAATTAGTTGAAAAAAAGTAGGGAAAAGATGATCGCCTGCTGAAGTCAGAAATAACAGCTTCTCTGCAGCTGTATTCTTGGGAAATGCAACCTGTCGTAGGCCCGGGGGAGTGGCCATATAAACGCGAACAGACCACTATTTGTGTCTGGTAGTGTTTCAAAATGATGCATCCTCAGCTGTTATGGGAACTAGGGCCATGGGTACCCCACGTTCCAAAGGATTTGCCTGAGCCAGACACAGAGAAAGGAGGAAGGACTGGCAGGGGCAGGGAGGGTGGATAAAGGTCACCAACACAGAGGACGAGAATGTAGGAACATGTTAATAGCATTAACAATCTTTTTTTTTTCTTTTAAGTAGAAGTCAGAACCCTAGAAAACCTGTCTGAAGCTTCAACCAGCACATCTTCTGAATGAATGACCCTGTTGTTCAGTGCACGATGGCTTCCCTAATGGATCACTGTGATAGAGCAACACGCATCATTGTTAGTATTCTGCTTGCCACTGGGATGGTGCTCGCCAACAGTATGGAGTTAATAACACATATGAAATGGGGTGACGACTGAGCTACTCATCTTCCTTTTCAGAAATATTCATTGTTGATGTTTCACGTTTGTCTTTAGATAGCTTTTATAACTGGCACTGACATTCTGTCTGACACATACATTTGAGGATGATAAATGGTCGTGTAGGGCCTGTATTGTTAACAGATAAACTTACCTAGTCAGATTCCTTACCTTTTTGAAGTGTTGTAACTAATGCACTTGGAATTAGTTCATCGTGACAGCTAAAGTTCTGGTGCTTATTAGAAAGTCTGTGCTATCTACAATCCAAAAGATAAAAACAGTCAATCTTAAGATCTCATTCCAAGGTAAGAGCTACCATATTTCTGCTCTACCTTTATTTATTGCGATGTTTATGCTAGCATATGTTTATTGTAAGAGACACGAGCTGCTAACCCTGGTCATGAAAACTTGATTTGCCTCATGATGCACATTGCAGCTGGCTGTTTAAAAACAGTTGTTATCATGGAGGGGATGCCAAGGTGCAATATTTTGACATGGGTCCTTTTCCAAATAGAGGTAAAATGTTCACAGATAGAAAATACTGGGTAGTTCAGAAGAAGAGGTCTCACAGCTAGGTGATCTCTTAAGTGAGAAAGACATAGTGCCCGAGGTTAGAGCTCTTCACTTGGACTGTCTTAAAATGAAAATTTGCCAAAACCTTGAGTTTACCTCCCATAATACACTGCTCCACCATTATCCACAAAAGGGCCAGGAGGGTACTTTGAGAGTGAGGGCTCAATCCTGTAGAAGGTTGAACACTCTGCCCTGGTCCTGGAGCACACCTAATTTGCTCAGCTGTTGTTCCCATACCTGCCCCCAGGTATGGGAATCGTTGGGGTGCCTCAAAGACAATGAGAAAGCTGAGTGTGTGTTTTACTGGATGAAGCTGCGGTAGTCAGCCCTGCTGAGAAGCAGGAGCTAAGAAAAAGAAGTAGAGATGATCCCAGAGGGATTATTTTGATGATAGCAGAACTTAGGCCCCTAATTTGCCAATAAGCGTTGCAGAATGCGTTTTAGCAACAGGTCAAATTGCATTCTGCATTTGTGAATCACTTCTAGTTATTTAAATAACAGCTAAGCTGTAATGTAGTTTATGCTCAAGTGATTTCATAATGGCTGGATAGTACTATTCCAATAACTGTCCTTATGTCTTTGCGTAAAATGACAGATGACTACTGTGTGTGAGAACTTCTCTGCATTCCCAGCATTGCTCAGATCGTGGCTCGAGGGAAGCCAAACTTCCTGTTAAAAAAGTATCAGAAAGCAACGACGTCTGTGTAACAAATGACATTTTGATTAAAATCAGTAAACACAGCATTCTAGAAATGCAGGAAGGGACAACTGAAGGTCATCTAGTCCAGCACTGTGTCAAAATCAGGGCTAACACCAACACTAGCTCAGGTCAGAAGTGGCTTTGTCTGCTAGAGTGTTAAATACATCCAAAGATGGAGATTTCATAACCCTATAGGTTGCCTGTGCCAGTGCTGCACTACTCTACTAGTAAAAACTTTTTCTAATGTCCGACCTGAACTCCCTAACTTTTGTGGCTGGGGACTTTTTTTTTTTTTTATGTTATCTGGCACTCACAGGAAGAGTGTGGCATCATCCTTTTTGTAACTGCCTTCCAGGTAGTTGTAGGCTACTGCTAAGGTTACCTCTTAGCCTTCTTTTTGCCTCAGTAAGCAAACCCTGCTTCCTCAGCCTCTCTTCACAGGTCTTGTGCTTTAGGCCTCTGGCTGTCTTAGTTTGGTGGAGGGCTACTCCCAGCCTCCACTGAAGCATGGCCACCCCTAGGGGCAGAACTTTGCATTTTTTTCCTGTCAAACCTCAGGAAGTCTCTGTTGGCTCAAGGTTATGGAGTTCCCCTCGGACTGAGGCTCTGCCATCTGCTGTCAGCCAGTCTCCCAAGTTCAGTGTCATTCATAGATTTGCTGAGGGCACACTCAGGGTCATCATCCAAGTCCTTGATGAAGATCCTGAGCAACAGGAGAACTGTAATCTCCAGATTTCGGGCAAGAGCTTACTCAAGACTGCAGAGGTATGACGTGTCCAAAGTTCGTGACTGCTGATTGTTACGGTAAAAAGTAGGTTACCTTGCTATTGATGTTTCTGAGCCACAGTCTGCTTAAACTGTATGGCTTTTCCCACTAGTACAAAGGCAAAAAGTTTTAAAAAGGAGAAGCTAAAGGAAACCATCCAAAAATCAAGTTCTCTTTGCATCTTCGTGTGCCTCCTCAGCTCGATTAAAGGAGCTAGATGGAACAAGAGCACACACAGATTTTAACCCCATGGTTATATTTACTATTCAAAATCTTGGCTATAGCACCTTCTCTAGAGGAATCCCAAGCGGGAGCTGATAGTATACATATATATATGTATATATATATATATTTTTTTTAAGAATTACATAGTTGCCTGTGGTAAGTTATTGTGACATTCTTGTCGCTAATCCCGTATTTTTATGAGACCTAAACTTCACTGTAAGAATGTGACAAATAAGGCATGAGCTGGAGCTGTACATTCTTAACTTCAACAAATTCTATATAACTGTTTCTAAATGAGGAAAAGAAAATTATTTAACTTTACAAAGAATACAGATATAAATTTACATAATTACACAGTCAATTACAGAAAAGCCATCCTGGATTTATCATGTACTTGATATGTTGTAAACTTTGAGAACTGCCTGAACACCCAGTTTTGAAAAACTTACAGAAGTAAGTATATCCCCACGAGTAATCCCAGACTTGGTGATGTGAATCGCAAAACTCACACTGATTTCTCCAGGGCTGAAATCAATTTACAAAACTCCTTGAATTTTGATAATTGCAGAATAGAAGCCTGTAGTTCAGTGGAGAGTAAATTCTGTTATAGCTATTAGGTGAAAGTAGCTTACTTCAAAGAATGCATATGGGCATAATCAGTTGTATGGAGGACAATACTAGCTCCAGGGAGACCCTGCTTGCTTGCATGGATTGGCTTTCTAAGGCCATTAGAATATTTGCTGTTGAATTGTAAGAGGCTAGCCTAAAAAAAAAGTACATATGTTGCTCAAATGTTAGTTTTGTCTAATGTGCTGCAGCCTTATTTTTGTAATTAAAGCAAGTAGAGTTTTAATTTGTTACATAAGGTGACCTGTAATTTTTTAAACCAGTTTTGTAATAATGAAATGTAACTAGTCAGGTGACTGAAAAGTTCTCTGGAAATTAGAGCCACTGTTGAAAGAAATAGCAAATTCTTAATTTTGTTTAAAATAATTGCATAAAAGAAGGTATGCTTGAGAACCATATGGTCCCAGTTTTTAGCTAATACTTGTAACTAACCCCACTTTTTAAAAGGGAGAGCAGTGTGAATTAAACTTTAAATCTTCATACCTAGCTAAATCTGCTGTGCGGGCATATGTGCACACACACATTCACTGTATCAGTGGCTTTAACAAGAGATGTTTCTGTTTGTGCCACACACTACTGGATAGTGCCTTGTCAGAAAGAGGACTGTTACTTTAGGGCCTTCTTAGATGCAATCAAACTTTGAACTCAGAAGGGGGTAGTTTCTATTATTATTATTTTTTTTAATAATGCAGTAAATTGATACGGGGGCTTGAGAAGAAAAACACATGCTTTGTAAGGTTGAAACAGTTTTTGATGAGTCTTGTAAACTCTTAATTTTTCTTGGGGTGGCTTTCTCTCTCTCTCTGCCTTTCTCTCTCTTTCTCTCTTTTTCTGTTTTCTTCTTTCTTTTGTATGTGAAATTATTTTAGAATCAAGCCTTTCAAGGAAGTGGTCCTGGAGTAAAGCCCCTAAATCCATGTTTAGGGTCAAAAATAACTGTCTGTTTGAAGTGCTGAGGAGCCCAAGTGCTATCACTGAAATGAAGAGGAGCTGTCAAACTCTGAGTAGCTTTCTTGCTTCTCCCTCCGTGTCCCCTCTGTCAGGCCACTTACTTAGGGAGCCCAATTCTTGAAATAACCTTATTTAAAAATAGGGGCCTAAGATTTTAGGCAGTGCCTTGTGGCAAGGGAGCTGCCTTCACATGAGTGTGAGAGTGGCATCTTAGCCAAGAAGTGCCAAATCCCATTAGTCTTCCTTGACTTGTGCGCTGATTTCGGTACAACTATTTGTGTGCGCAACGCAAGGAGCAGCGAGTGTTGCGTTTCCGCCCTGCTCAGAGAGCGGGAATGGAAGAAATTGTGCAGAATGGCAAATAGCGTCTTTATGTCACCTTGAAGAGTGGTTCTCACATGGGCACATTGGCCTATCCTTCGCCCTCTTGCACACAAAAGGCTCCCTTAGAGATTTAGGAGGGAAAATGGAGAACGGCTTCTCGAGAGCATTCCTTCAGCCAGGGCAGGCTGGGCTTACTCCCTTCTTCCTACTCTGTCCCTCTTCCTGATGTTCCCTGTCCCAGCATGCGCAGAGCTCTGTGCAAAGCTCCTGCTCCCAACCATTTCAGTCACATTCCTGTGACCTTGCAAGCGCAGAGCTGGCGTGCACCTTGAGAGCATCCATGTTTTGTAACCTAGTGGGAGAGGGAGCACATTGCATCCTAGGCTGTGTACACATGGAGTTTTAAGTTGTGTATTGCAACCGTGTTCATCTAATAAAAATGTAACTCGAAAAAGACACTTGGGGTCTGTTGTTTGTGCCAGAGAAAACAAAGGAAAAAATAAGGTGAATCTGTATTCTTGCTGCAGCTCCCTCTGGTGACAACCTGGTACTTCAGCAGGGGAAAGCATTTCAGAGCTCTCCCCATGGGATGAATGAACCCGATTCTGCAAGATGCTAAGCAGGTTTGGTCCCTGTTAACTTAGTGGGAACTATAATATGCAGAATTTCTACAGGGTTAGGCTCTAGATCCTCCCTGATAAAGAGCAGTGATTTATTGTCTTCAATTTTTTCACTTGACTTAATTGATAAATACCATGGAAATGAAGGCCAGATCCTCTAGGAATGGCTTGGACAATGGAGCTAGGAAATTTTCACACGTTAAAGTTTTGCTCCTGGGGCTAAAATGTTCAGGAGCACATCACACTTTTTCTTGGCTGTAAGTTACTATTTTGACCATCCATGTCGGCTTTCCCTGTAAGGTATTTAGATATATTTTACACTGTAAGTGGCTGACAGAAGGTAGAAGTTTGCATCAATTCGGTTTCCCCTAAGTCGTCATTCTAATACGTAATTTGTAATCTCCTTCCAGTTTGTTCTAATGCTTGTCCGTTATCTCCAGTATAAGCACTGCTATGAAAACTCTAGCAATTTGTGGCTTTTTTTGTCACTTTGCTGTAAGACAAGGCAGGTAAAAGTGATGTGAATGAGCACATAGGGAAGACAAGGTTGAAAAGCTAATTCTGCGCAGGCAGGAGGATGGAGCAGCTCCTCAGCTGCACTAGGATCAGTAGGACATCTCTGAAGTGAGTGGAGCTGTAGCAGCTAATACCACAGGGTACAGGGGCTCATACCACTGGTCCAAGGAGGGAGTGCACATTCAAATGTGTTGTATCACAGTGGGTAGATGCAGCCAGATTTTGCTGAAGGGAGGGGCGAGCACTTCTTGATTTCCAGAGAGGAAGATGAACAGATGTTCTGTAGCCATTCACGGCATCCCGTGAAGTTGCAATTTTTTTGTATGTGGCTGCCAGAGAATACCCTAAGTGCATTTTGCACATGGAAGTTGCACGGTATGTGTTTTCTTGCCACTAGCTCTCGTTCTCCCGTGTAGCCCCAGCTCTGCATGTGTTCCCTGTGGCAGCGCTCAGCTATGCTCCCATGTTACAGGGGAAGGGGATGCAAAAGTTTCATTTTGCGTTCCCCAATCAGCAACTGGTTTCATTGCTGAAGACACTTTTATCATTATGGTATACAGCTTATATCCTTCAAATACTAGCCTTTCAATAAAAGCATTCATGGGAAAAAGTTCTCAGAGGTCATCTGTGTGTTTGCATGCATGCATATGTGTGTGTCTGTGTTTGTCTATGTCACGTCCCCCTTCTTGTTCCCACTTCAGCCTATAAGTCTGGGCTGTAAGAAAGTGCTCCTGAACTGGAGTATGAGTGTGATTTGATTTTTAGGTGTCAGAGGCTTTCCTTGTTCACTTCATAGGCTTTGATCAGGCTGTCACTAAAGGCACCTTCACGCCTTCATTAGAAATAACCTCACACAGGCAGTACAGCATAACACAGGTGAACGTGGGTCTGGGTGCAAATCCTCCCTGTTAGTTTTACTGCCTAAACTGATTACCTAAATGGTGACCACTGTACATAATTCAGTCTCTTGATGAATTTGAGAAACATTAGGGAATTACAGGATTAAGTAAATAGCACTGCACTGTAAAGAAAAGGTCAGCCACATACAAAAAAAAAAAAAAAGTGTTAACAAGGTGAAAAAGAAACCTTTTAGGTTTTGACATGGAAAAAGGAAGTTCTTAAGCAGAGTCCTTGTGAAATGCTTACCAGTCCCTCCGTGTTTAACTGTCCTGTCCAGCTTTAGCTGTCTACGATATGTACATCTACTAAATTCAAGAGAGGCCCCCTGTGCTCTGCGGGGAAGAGTACATACTTCTGTCCATTATTCATTTCACCCTAGTGCAAAAGCTAAAGGTCAAATGAGTTGTGTCTTAGAAATGATGCCACCTCTAGCTATATATATGTGCCATCCTGTAGCTATATGGAGAGGAACTCATATGCATAAACAGTGTAGCTATGTGAAGTAAGAGAAATTCCTTTCAATATGTCTGGGAAACCAGGGAGATTCCTGAATACCCCCTTCCCTCTCCCCATACTCCAAAATGGTCCTAGCAAGAGGATCATCCCGTAACAAACAAGCAAAAAAACCTACGTGGTGCTATTGTCGCTTTTTGAAGTCAGCATACATCATGCAGCAGCTCTGCACCCACCTGGGAATACTCCCTGCTCTCTGATGCAGGAGTGAGAAAATACTTCTCACATAACACGTAGGAAAATAAACAGTATGCTGATTCTGAGCTTTTCTAGTCCCAGAGACTGTACATCCCTTTCTGGCCCACATGAGAGATGCAACCTCTAATAACTGTGCTACGCAACAGCACTGTGCTTCCCAGTCCTTACACATCTTTGGTAGATCAAGAGCAATTCCACTGAAATCAATGAACGTTAAGATGCGTAAAACTAATTTGAAATGAGAATTGAGCCTAGATGTCTCTACATTACAGTACCTTAATTAAGTAAATAAACTCGGTGGCCTAAGTGATTCTACTGGGAGCCAATGGAAAAAGTTGATGGCAGCTCATATTTTGCCTCATTTCTTTGGGCTTACACGAAACACTGTAGTGAGATGCTTCCTCCATCAGCAAGATTTTGTTCACTGTAAAGTGACTGAGCTGTTGGTGTTGCAAGGCTTCAAGCCCCAGGTGCCAAGCAGAAGCCGTGGCTGTTTTCCAACTGCCTCGTGGAGAAACTGGGCTGTCTCCAGCCGTACCCCTGCTCAAGGGGTTCATGTCCCCAGTGTACAACTGAAGGAGTATGAAACAAATCTGCACTAGCAGAAAGCGTAAGTCCTTTTTTTCTTTAGCTGCTCTCAATTTCACACTTTGATGTGCTTAAATGGGGGGAGAAGGGAAGTATATCACTGTAAAGAGGCATAGATGGATAAGGTATCAGTTTTCCACACGATACCGATCAGCTCTTCAGATGTGAGAACTAATAAAACACAATTACTTTTGAGCATGATATAAGCAGCATACTAATGTGTTCAAATACCTAATTCTTCGTCGTTTAATTATAAATTGTCTAATTAAAGCTATATCTGGAGAGGCCTCCGGTCCTCTGTGCCTCAGCTTCCTTTGCCAGCATACCCATATTGCCTGCTTTTAACTATTGCCAAATGACTGTCTCTGTCAGGAATGGATGCTGCAAAGAGTCCTCCTGTAACATCTCCTATCTGCAGTGGTGGTGCTGCCATATGTCACTGCAAAATGATAGGAAAATGGCTCGCCGGGCTGGCCGGGACTGCCTGCGAGGTGCGATGCTGTCCAGCTCACAATATATTTCTCTCACTGAGGGAGGGGGAAGCGCCTACGCCCACAGCCCATGGTTCAAAACAAAGTTGGCGGAAGCCAATCTGTCAGTAAGCAGTTTTCACAAAGTCATTTAAAAAAATCAGTTGCTGCAGCAGGAGAAACCTTCAGAATAATTTTCAGTGCCCAGATGGTGCATCAGAGCTGCTCGGGGGGCAAGCGCAGCCGTGCGTCAGCAGCGGGCTCTACTCAAAACCTGTTTGGTCAACAGGACTTTCCCTGCTTCACCCAACCCTCCCATCATGGTGCTACACACTGATACAACTTTCCTTTGAGGTGTTTTCTTATCTGGGTTTTCATAGCTTTACAGTTTTCTAGTTTTCTTCTTGTTTTTGTAGGACATGCCTTCTCTTCTAGGTATTTTATGTGAGTGGCATAAATTTCAGTTTAACCTATGGCAGTGTTTTTAGGTGAGGACAACTGTATAGCATTGCTGTGAAATACAGTATTGAGTCATTAAGGTACATTGCTGTAACATCAATACTGTTCCAGCAGGGCCATGCTATTTAAGCCCTAACTGGTCATTTCAACTCCTTAGGCACATTCGTGCTCTGAGCAAAGTGTGGGTGTCCATCAAACCCACCTAGGACAAAAGTAGCAGCATTTCAGTGTAACAAAATTTCAGAGACTGCATTAACTAGTGAACCTGGAGGAGATCTCTTGGGTCACAGAATCAAAGTCCTGCCATTTCCATTATCATGTAATTCGTTTCATAAAAGTATCAACTTCCAGCTAAAAACACCAATCTTGAGTTTGGGCTGATTTTTTTTCTTTTTTCTTTTTTTAGCTTTTTCTTTTTTTGTCTCTGCGGTGCCAGTTGGAAGGTTGTCTGAAGATCTCATTGCTCTTGCACCAAAAATTAAGCCTTCTTCCAAACTCCAGCTGAAGTTTATTCATGGCCACTTTATGTCCCTTGTTCTTGCACCACTGTGTCCGTTCATTTAAATAAGTCTCCCTTATCAGAGTGTGCCGATCATAGGAACTTATATCGTGGTTTTCTGTCCTGTCTTAGCTATGCTTCTGTCAGATTGAAAAAGGAGTGTACCTCCTGCTCGCCCCAGCAGCTGTCTACGCAGGTTTGCTTATTTGGAAGAGCATTAGTGATTTTCAGTGTTTTTGGCATAGGAAAAATTGTTTTAATAGTATTTAACCTAAGACATTGTCACCTGCAATCCTTTTGATCAACACTGATCTTCTTTTCCATCAGTGTTAAACACTGCTTTTGGTTGTACATGTTTGGGTGCTGCGGATGCTCGGATGCTCATTAGACTGGGATGCTCGTTAGACTGACGGCTGTGTTTCTTGTCACTGCCCTTCAGTGCTCTTTTGCTGGTATTTCAGCTCAGTCAGGAGGCAGCATGCTCTGGCCCTGGTTAGGTAAAACACGTCGGCACAGACTTAGCTCATTGTTAATGGTCCCATAGGAATCTGCATGCGGGAAAGTAAATGAAAGTTAAAGAGGGCTGAACTGGTGCGAGAGGTTTTGGTAACGTGCAGAGCCCAGGTGTGCAGAGGAGCTTCTGCCTCCTCTGATGCCCCAAGAAAACTCAGATCACTGGGATGAGGATTTCTC